TTGCACACCGCAATGCTGGCTAACCCGTCCTGATTTCACCTGGTCAACCGGCCTACCCATCTCTACTGCACCCACGTAGCCCCGGCCCACCTGTCTTGATTTCACCTGGTTGACCGGCCCACCGTCTCCACTGCACCCCATAGCCCCGGCCCACCCAGCTCAATTTCACCTCCTTTACCGGCCCACCCGTCTTGATTTCACCTGTTCTACCGGCCCACCCGTCTGCACGGCACCCGTAACCCCGGCCCACCCGGCTCGATTTCACCTCGTTTACCGGCCCACCCGTCTCCATTGCCACCCCGTAACACCGGCCCCACCCGTCTCAATTTCACCTCATTTACCGGCCTACCCGCTCCACTGCACCCTGTAACACCGGCCCCATCGTCTACATTACATGTCATCTTCCGGCCCACCCGTCTCCATTGCACCCTGTAACACCGGCCTCCACCCATCTCCATTGCACCCCATACGGCCGGCCCACCCGTCTCAATTCACCTCATTCACCGGCCTACCCGTCTCCACTGCACCCCGTAACACCGGCCCCCTCGTCTACATTACATTTCATCTTCCGGCCCACCCGTCTCCATTGCACCCTGTAACACCGGCCCACCCATCTCCATTGCACCCCATACGGCTGGCCCACCCGTCTCCATTGCACCCTATTCCCCGGCCTCCTCGTCTCCATTGCACCCCATTCCCCGCCCCCTCGTCTCCATTGCATCTCATCTACCGGCCCCCTCGTCTCCATTGTGCCTTATTTACCAGCCCACTCGCTATCACACACTGGATTCACCACCATTCATAATCACCTATATAGTACATTGCTATACTACCATGTATACTATATACCCCCGGCCCATCCGTTTGCCTCGGATACACCACACCCTCGGCCCACTCGTCTATCACGGTACAATTATTGCCACCGGCCCACACCGGATGGCTCGTCTCTATCGTACATTGTCACGCCCGGCTGCCCGTCTCAGACGGGTGAATTCACTGAAGGGGCTCGAGAGTGGAGCTGAGGATCAGGTCGAAGGCAATGAAAGGCACGGCCAACTGACCTCTGATATTAACAAGGACAATATGAGCATTGATGAGCCTGAGCCTGAGATTGTCACAAAGCAGAAACCTGGCAAGAAATCACTGAAAGATGCAGTTGACGCTCAATTGAAATCAATGAAGGCTGATCAGTTTGCAAGTGTTGATCTTGCAGACAGGAAAAGAAACTCTTTACCGTATGTTGTCTTCAATTGCTGCCATGTTGTTGCTCACTGAGTTGACACTCTTCTTCCTCAACTTGACTGCGGAATTTACTAGGTCAGCTGTCAAATCTTCAGTTGGTGGACGCATCAAGGCCTGGGCTTCAGACATACCAAGTCCTCCAAGTTGCCCATCCGAAGGCCGCTCCCAGCTGCATTCTAATTCACATGCCTCTGTTCCCCCATCCACTATATTCTCCCGCTCTCAAGCCATGACAGCAGCTTCAGATGCAACTAGTCTTAGGTCTCAGGCCATTTCACAGAAAGGCCCTGATGTTCAGTCTGCTGTCTCTGCTGACAATCTGGTCGGAGGATTCAGTGATGAAGAGGGAGATGACATGTATGAATGTGAGGCTGCATTCCAAATAACGGGAAGGCAGCCAGTCGAGGTATAGTATCTCTCCCTTTGATTTATCAAGCTCGTACAGCTCACTTCTTAAAGCCTATACTCCAGATTGGTGATATCACAGACTTGGAGTCTGAAGATGTTGAACCTGGCAGCAAGTCAGTGGTATGTGGTTTTCCTTTGGCCATTGAAATATTCTTTGACCATTGAAAAATTTCCTGTGGGCTGAATAGTTAAATCCTTGGCTGGCATCAAACAGTAAGCTTCCCCCACCATCCTCTCAGCTTCGCATGTTGGAGGCTGCCCGCCACTTGGCCGCTGAAAAATCAGATGGAGTTCCCCCACCATCTACTCAGCATCGCAAGCCACAGGCTATCCACGTTGCGAGTGGCACAAAATGGAAACTCGCATTGGAGTCCAGTGTCGAAATCGTAGAAAGTCTCGATGATCAGGATGACTCCTCGGTAATGAGCGACATTGAATTTGTTGATGACTCTACAATGTTAGTTGACAAGCCTTAGGGAATGCAAGACACCCCCCTCACCAAAGTGCAAGCTCCATGGACAACATCCTTGGTACGTTCTTTTCTTTGTGGCCCCATATCAGCATTGAATGACTAATGTTTTATTGCAGACCACCGTTATGACCACCAATGCCAGGGTGCCACCTGCAAAGAAGGTCAAAATTGAGCCAAAGGTCAAACCCAAGCCAAAGTCAAAACCGAGCAAATGAACATGTCAGAGACTGCCCTAGTGTCCACTGAGGCAGACTCAGATTGCACTTGGGTTGAGGCGACAAAGGCTCAATCGGCCTACCAGAACACAGATCTACCTCCTGCATGTCAGGATGGGCATTGGCCTAAGGTTTTCCTTCCCACAATTTACCTGTGGGTGGGAAGTCAACCGAACCTTTGGAACATCAGTGATGATGCCCTCCTGGAAGCTATTAAACATGCCTTCGATGTTGTCTATCCAGAGGCCGAGTACACACCCACCTTGCAAGGCTCTGTTTTTGGTGTTTTATGTTTCTTGACCATCCAATTTTCCTGATCTCACATCTAATTTTAGACTAATCAACATCTCTCTGAGTGGTGCAGCAATTTTGGCTCCACTGCAATTGCCATCATCATCGATTTTATGGCTCACAATGATGACACCAGCCCTGGTGAGCTTGCTGAGTACCTCCTGTTGGATTATGGGTTCCTTTACAAAGATCCAGATGTTATTGACAAGATGAGGACTTTCCAGTCCGCATTTATGCTCCAGCTCATAGCCACTGGCCACCTCCACACAACAACAAGTCATGCTGATGTTCTGGCACTCAACACTGACACTCTTGTTGTGAATGGGATTGGCAGTGTGATTGGGATATGCACAGCCGCAGCAAGCTGTTTTTCTTCTTCTTTTGCTCGAAGACAATGCTCATTTACTTGTACAGTTGGAACACACCCTGAGGCTCATCAACAACAATGTAATTAACATTGAGGATGTACTCGCAGCTCCCCCAGCACAATGCAAGCTCATGCTCAAAACACCAAAGGTGCTCAACAAGGCCACTGGAAAGGAGACCTCAACTGCCTATGCATTCTCGGTCAATAATTGGGGCTCGGCAACAAACTCATTCTTGAAGTCAGGCTCGTCTGAAGGGGAAAAACCTTACAAGGGACATCACCTCAATGGCCCAGAAGCTTCTCAAGAGATCAAAATCTGGACTCAAAGACTTCCTTTCCAATGATAACTTCAAAGAACTCGATGAGTGTGCCTTGGTTTAGTGAGTTGTCAGTATTTTCTCATGTTTTCACATTCAATCAACTCCCTTTAAACAGAGCCAGAGTCTGTGCAGGTCTTCTTCATTTTGCTTACTCATCTGCTTGTGCTTGCCTTTCCCTCAGTTGTTCACAGCATTGATTGCCACTTTCCACATGTTTCCAATTCGCTTTTTTGCCCTTGTCTTGCATTGATATCTCTCTCCACATCTTTGTGACCTTCTGGACTCTCACTTTCTACCACTTAATGCCATTTTCCATACACATTGTGACACATTTTTCTCACTTTAAAAGATGATGTGGTGCTTTATAAGATGCCATATTCTCATTTCCAATGTCCGAAAAATAGGCCATCCAGTGAGTATTACAGCTGATTGCAAAATTATGTGGAAACACAAAAGTTGGATTTGGATCTCAGAAACACCCGAGCGAGAACCCCATAAGCATATCACACTGAGCGAACTGGCAGCAGCAAAGGGCACAGCACTTGCATGCACAGGAAGTGAGGCTCAGCACTCAGTGCCAGCAGTGAACGGCACATACGATGTTCTCAGCAAAAACTCTGCCAGAAATATTCTGGCCAGTGCCTTCACTGCACACGGATAGGTGAGTGATGTTCTGATGTGTTGCGATTCACTGATCCTCACCTTGCATACTGACTAGCAGGCGGGAGATCATTGATGCGTCTGACGCATTATTTTTGTGCAGGAACCTACTAGACCGGATGTCAGGTGCCATGATCCATCTCCATTCATGCTGAGGACATGGATGGCGCAATTCTGCTGATGAGTTCCTTCCATTGTTTTATCTCGTGTTTCTACCATTACTTATTAATGCATTCTGTACAGTTCTCATTACATCTATACTGGCCTTGTTGTATTCCCTGTCGTACTCACTTGCTACTACCATGTGCATGTAATTTTTTCTGCTTCCCTCTGTTTCTTTTGATTTTACTAATCTAAAGACACTCATTCTCCGTAGCCTTTCACACAGTGCACCCTCCCACATCATCTTGTACCTTCCTCTGGCACCTTCTTCGCCTTCTCGCACCCTCTCGTGATATCTGACACCCTCAGGACACCTTTTGCATTGTCTCACGGCACCCAAAACCCCTGCGACACCTTCTTGCACCTCTCATGGAACCCGAAACACCTATCTCCTTTACCTTTTGTTGAGTTTAGTTTAGAATGGTTGAAATACACTTCATTGATTTGGATTTATTCTAAATGTTCGAAACTTGACTTCTATTAGGCTGATAAAATTCGACAAAATCTACAAGCTATCAAGTACTGTTGTGTTCTAGAAGGTCTGTGTATTGAAGGTGCTACTGCGAGCTCTGGGTGTTTTTGTGCATTTCAAGTAAGTGTCACGGAGCCCTAGTACTCACTGCTCAGACTCGTTGGGACTCTACAGCTGCAGTGCGACCATGCATACGGGGTCCTCGTCCGGGTGTTTCCGAGACTCAAATCCAACTTTTGCATTTCCGCATAATTTTGCAATCAGCTGTAAGAAAATTTAAGTCAAAATCAGAGGACGACTGGCCTTTTTGCGACTTTTCCCGCATCACTCTTAATTTTCATTTTGGGTCTCTTAAATCCATCATAAGTCACTATTAAGTCGTGATAATCAATCCGTGGTTTTCCTGATGAAGCAAGAGATAAAGATAACCAACGGCGCATCAAAGTTATGATGTCGTGAACCGGACGGATCCGCACCCGGATGGACCCAGCCGGACGGACTCGGAAAATTCCATTTCCCGGATGTCCTCAAAGGTGGGACACACTGCGAGTGATCTCCGCACACCACCCAGCGAGTACGACGGCCATGTCACCCACAATCACGAGAGAGTCAGCAGCAGAGCGGCTTCAGGCAGTAGACTGAGCTTGCGAGGGCATTGGAGGTAAAAGAATCGTGATTATATCTTAGGACATGCGTATATACAGCTGCTCCGTTAAACCAGGTCAACACAAATGCGACAATGTGGCGTGGGTGACTTGAGAGTAGGCAGCCGGAGTCGGGGATGGGGGGCTCGCCGCCGCTACGATATCCATATGATGGTAGTGTTGCGATATGAAACTATGATACATCTGAAATAGGCGGTTTTCCAAATTCGGACGCGCATGAAAAAAAAAACGACCAATCTCATTATTCTTGAAAATTGCTGTAATCTCCCTTTTGCGCGCTTTTTGGTGATTTTACGATGCATTTGACAGTGACTGCAATGGACTTATATCAAGTTTTCGTGCCTTAAATTGTGTGCAATAAGTTGATTCAATCGTATCTAAGCCGCCACAGGATTATTATCGGAAGTACCTCCCCATCGTCTCCGCTTATCCACCACATCTGTTCAGTCCTCACATTTCTCCTCATGCTCAGTTTCACGGCTAGATCCATTTTTCCAAGGTGCTATCTATATCCGTCCACATTCCTTCGACTCTCCTCTCCTCTCATGAAGCTATTCTCTTTCGAATGCTTACTTTGGGGGTGTCGTCGAGGAGCTGCTTGTCGAGCAGTAGGTTGTGACTAAGTTTCCTTGGGCGGAGAGTACGGTTTGGAATAGATCTCCTTAGACCTTAGGCTTGACAGGGGAGGTCACGCAGCATTCTGATTCCTCGAGGCAGGTGCCACTGACCGGAATTTGTATCTTGAAACAGAAACAAGGAACATGGTGACTTATGGAGAGTCGTCAGACTTCAGTGCCAGTATGGCTATGAGTGTATCAGTTTCAACATGCTGTCTATGATCGTACCCACCTGACACTGTCATGAGGGCTTCTAGGTTCAAACTTACAACGAGACTACAAAACTGCATTGCAAGTATTTCAGTCATATGCTATGTATTCAAGTACTTGTTTGAGATACACATCCATTGCTCGAGCGGCACTTAAATTTGTTCAGAAGCATGCGCATTGATCAACTCAGCAAGAAACCACTAGTAAGTCACGCATCGTGCTATTAACCATACTGTACCGATGCGAAAGCAGAAACACGACTCACTGTAGTTCACTGTCGCGACATGCCACTCAGTCTTGCACACATATCCAGATTTCCTACCACACCGGTGAGTCACGGTTAAATCCAGGACGCGAACTACTCGTACTCACTTGGCCATTTTTATTCACAGTGCCTGACTCCACGCATGCCTCTCCCTCGCAGCAGGGATCATAGTTGCAATAGGTGTGACAAGTATCACTGGTGTCAGCGTCGCTGCGGCTGTCAATGGGATTGGCAGATAATGACGCTGTCAAAACAGCAACAACCGAGAGGACGAAGTAGAAACGCATCGGTTGTAAGGATATGATATCGGATCAGATAAATCTGAGGGAACGGTAGGAAGACGGCTTGCTTTTATGTGCTGAATATTGTTATGGCAGAACTTTATGGCGATGTAAGAAGAACCTATCTTACGGAAAACATAATTGATTCTTCCTCATATCTTGCTAAGATCTCGTGAACTTTGTTCACGCACGGTTACACGGACAGTCCGATCGTAACGTGGTTCGCGGACTAGGTCAGTAAGAGTCTGATTCGAGATCACTGCATGCACTGACAGACATGGTACATCATGTGTGCGAGTTTATACGAGGACGATGACAGTGTATGGGAGAAAAGCGCGGGAACATCACTGGGCGCAGAGTAAACATTAAACAAACAATGTAGCACTATTACAGTAAATACAAAGGTAAATAACTTACCGCTGAGGTCACGGTTGTTTGCTGGTGTGCACCGGCGGTGCTCTGTACGAATGAATTCCTAGCTTACTGAAGGGGACACAAAAGCCCCATCTGTCCTCTTTACTAAGAAGGAAGTATAGGTGGTGTAAATACACTCCAAGAGTCAACAACTTGAACACGTGCGCAAACGAGTTGAACTTGTCTACTTACTACGCGGCGGCGACGAACGAACGATTTCAACCAAGCATATGAAAACTACGTTGTAAGCAATATCTTTTCCAGCGTGTATCTGCGAGATGTCGTTTACCATGTATCGTTCATATTCCCCTCGAGTTTGTTATCTTGCGGAAAACGTGTTGGAACTTTCAACTTGGAGGTCAGGCATCTGACAGGCATGCGACGAGTCATCGTTCCAATCTATATGGACTATCGATTGGAGTCATCACTCCTTGCATGTCAACGTCAACAGTGGTGTTAACGGGGTTTGATTAGAAAACAGCTTCAGGCACCCATATAGAGGTATCGATATCAATATTGTGAGGAATTGTTTGATCAATGATGATGAAACATTTCTGATGGCTCTAATCTAGTTCTGGTTCTGTATTTCTGGAGTTCATTGGCAAGAAAGTCTCTCCATTACTATACTCGCCATCGCTCCAGTGCGCATACTCAATCTTCAGGTCGCAGAACCCGAAAGGCCGTTTATGCAGAGCAGTGCAACTACGGACTCGTTACGAGTCTCGATGCAATGATGCAAGGCAAGGCTATCCATTAACCACCTCCGAACCACCGCGTTTTCGATTCGCCGATCCTTGTACCCCAGCTCAGCTGTGATCAAAGGTGACCGGTTCCGGTGAGGTGTCGGCTGAAACTATTTGCGACGTCCGCTGGTCACTGAGACTTGGGCAGCTTCAAGTGACCGACTCATCGATTCGCTTCGCTGTACTCTATATCTATCTCTATATCGAGGATTTAGGCATCGCATCGCATTCTGTCGATAATCGAACACAACTTCAAGTCAAGTCAAGCTCACTCCGTGGCTACATCACAGAAATGAAAAAGTATAGTATGATCATCGCTAGCCCGCCTATACGGGCATATCCAGCACCATATAGACGCGCTGATCATTTTCATTTTCCTCGTGCAAAGGCTGCAGCTGCTCCCTTAACATGCACATGACATCCAGAATCCAGAAGGGTAAGGTACATAGAGACATGATTCAATTCATATCTCCTTATCTCGCCCATTTGAGATGGGACTCATTATTATTATTATTATCCGGGGAGGTGTAGATATCTCAGACGAAGATCTTTGGTGATCATGAGACTGGTACATCATTTGAGATTTGAGAGATCATCAGTGGTATTAGTACTGGAGTCTGCATCATACCGCCGCCGCTACCGCCGCCGCCACCACCACTGACCTCGAGGATTCAGATGCTTGAAGATGATGTTTTCAAATATGTTGCAACTGACCTGTTATGTTTTTTAACAGATCATGTCGGTGTTTTATCGTCTTTGGATTTGAGTTTGAGTTCTCCTACTCGTCTGAGGTGAGCGGGCTCTTGGCTGTATTTAAACTTTTAAAGATACCGACGATGCAAAGCAGAGACGAGGGCAGTCCACTACTTGACTTGGCCACGTCCATTATCGATTGGTTAGTCTATATGTACTCCAGTGCAGCCTGTCATCAAAGGTGAGGCCTAGGCGTCGGCTGAAACACTTAAGGCGACGTACGCGTATGCTGATGAGAACTACAATGTCCAGCTTTGTGCATCCATGATTATCCATATCCGAGGATTTCGATGATTATAGTTCCATTGATGGTTGGCCCGCCTGCACAGGCACCGTATTTTAAAAATGCGCCAACAGTGATAATTTACCTCATGCATCACAAATCACTCCCGCTGCGCAAAACGAGTATGTCTTAACTTCTCTCGGCTTCGTCATGATGCGTTTCCAGTAGACTTCTCGGATGTTTGGTGATTGTGAGACATACAGACCCATCATTCGAGAGGTCTCTCCCATCGGCGGAACAGGGCGCCTGCACAGGTTTGTACAGGTCTATACCAGCAAGGTGGTTCGCTGATTATCATACAGTGGTACAGATATTGTTCCTCGTACATTATGCCATCTTTACAGCGGCACTGCGGAACATACGTTCTGGAGCTGCATCGTACCACCGGGCGCTAAACGTGATGTTTCAAATATATCTGCAGATGCCGAGGAACTGACACTGTGTTATGTTTCTCAATAGATCACAACGAATCATATTGGTGTTCTACCATCTAGCGATCGCTGGCGGCTGCAGCGTGCAGACTTCAGGCGTCATGATCAGACATCGTAGAACCGGTCGGAAGTTGGAACTTCGGAAGGTCGTTTATGCAGGGCAGTCTAACCACGGAGATTACGACTCTACGCGAGATAAAAAGGAGATGCAAGGAGTCTATTAGTGAAGCTAGGATATCCTTGCGATAAACTTTACACCTGCTATTACGTTATCTTTCACGGCTGCATGAACGTCTACACCAGACGAAATATGTACGTACTTTATATGGCACATCACTACCCATATCCTGACAGTTGTTAGCTTTAGCCCCAATTTCTCCTTGTCAGTCAGAGCCGACGTTGTGCTGCCTAATCGGACCCGATCTGTCTGTCGAAAGACATTCCGAATTTCCGATCCAGTCCCTGTACTTAAATGTCAGTGAGCTCACATTATGGTGACAAGTTCACTGTGAAACACCGAGCCTAGTCACGTCAAGTCTATCCATAAGCTGTTAGCCTCCATTTCTCCTGCCGGTCGCAGAGCCGACGAATGATAACATTACCACATCCATTGTTCATTCCCAGAATGGTTAACGAGATTTTCAAGACATAAAAGCAGGCCCTCTCCCCTAGCATACACCACCTCAAGAACCCTTCTCAACTCTGCCAGATCCCACATCACTTTGTATAACCAATGCGTTCCTTCTTCCTCGCCGTCGTGGCTGCTTTGACAGTATCTATGTCTGTCAGCGCAATGCCAGATGTTTTAAGTGGGAGCCGACGATGTGTTGAGGACGGCGGATATTGCGCCGTCGACAGTCAGTGCTGCTCTAAAAAGTGTTATGTGAGTATGAATAGTTTGTGCTGGATCAACCCCTTGACTCACCCTTCGCGCCTTCTAATAGAATGATGTTACTGAGACACCGTATTGCCAATCTTCTTCTTGAAAAGGACTTTCAAGGAGCTCACACGTCATGAGTGAGTCGTGTTTCTGCTTTCGTTATTGGTGTTGTTATTCACGACGTAGTTCGTAGTTGATTACTGGGTTGATGGTTGTTTTTGGACGTCAAATTTCATTTCCGCTTGAGCAATGAGACCATTGAATAGAACACCCCAACTCAACTTGTATAGCTGGGGTGAATGAATGAGATATCATAGCCCCGGTGGCCATAAGCTTGAAAATTAAAAGTCATGAATCGGGACTCAGCCGATAGCATATATGATGGGGGAGTACCCGTTCACAGTCACACGCATGCAGGTAATGTTGACGGACATGACAATGCCAGTCACCAGTGGGTCAAGTAAGAATCTTGTAGTGGTAACGTACGAGTTAATCACAAGAACCGCCATAAACCTCCGTCACTACACCATGGCGCCAGAAGGCAGAATTTCAAGGTAGTAGGTGTGTAAAAAATTGACGAAATAGAACGTATCAATGCCTGTGTGGAGCGATGGTCTGCCGACGAGGAGCTCCGGTTATCACGATGCGAGTAGCGAGGACATTTTAGGAGAACGTCAAGTCAAATTTCAACTCGCAGATTCTTGTAGCTGAGTAGGCTCGAGTTGAACCTTGGGCTGCCTGGTTTTATCAACTACCACTGGCTAAAATGAACTGGGGAAAGTATCAGTAAAGCCTAAGATCAAGGTAAGGACGAGTATGACGAGGAATGCAAAGCTGTAATATCCTTGGGGAAGACCGTCAGACGCTGAACACGGAATATTACAGAATGTTACATGTAAGAGAATGCGCCAGTGAAGGGGGACATTTCTCAGTAGCAGCGCTCTACTTTGTGATAAAACACCCATTTTCAACAGAGGCTTCGTTTGCAAAGAAAGAGTGTTTGAGTGCGAAGTAACAGTGCCATAGCTTGGACAGTGGGCACCTAATAAGTCATCAAGTTAATGCCACGAACAAAAATTCCCAGTGCACCCAACCTCAGCAACGTAGCGCAAGCGGAAAGACGCCCTCCTAGCATACACCTCTCGAAACCACGAACGGCGCGCCCATTATTCGAACTACCATGTCCACTTGCGCGGATGGAGAATCAGGTGTTCCCGGTATTATGCACCATCAAGCCCCGAAACTCCCAAAACATCCAAACTCACCGTGTCCTCTCCATGTCCATCTCCGCATCCTCATCCTCCCAAAACCATCTCTGCGCGCTCTCCCTCCTCTGATCCCATCCTTCACAGTCATCTCGGATCTCTGTTGCTAAGAGGCTTTCAGGGGAGTTTTGTTTGTTGGCGAGGAGGGGATGTTGAGAAGTTGGGAGAAGGAGAGGACTGAATCGGTTTTATAATAATGTTCGTCATTAGTCATTCGTTATAGGGCACGGTGAACTAGAAGAGGACACACCGGATATTTAGCAGCCCTCACCAAGCCTCTCTCGACCTCCACGTTAATGACGTATGCACGGCGTGGCAGCCGTCGTAGTATCTGTACCAGATGGACCGGGTGCCAGGTGGACCTGAAAAGTTGAAGAAGTTTATGGGAGAGATATTGTGCCCACTGCATGTCAGGTTTCGCGAGGGTCTAATTGACAGGCTAGGGGACACGTACTGTTCTGCCTGCAGTCTTGTTATATAGAGAAGCTCGTGATACCGACCAATGCAGCGCTGCGCGCGACATGCAGTAGCAGCACCAGCAGCGAAGTGATGATGAATGGCACATATGAGCTGACGTAGGTATTCGGGAGAACCTGATTGGATTCAGGTAACGATAATATTTTAGGAGTGGAGGTAGGCTACAGCGAGAAGGTTTGGGACCACGGATAGGATGGTGAGTTGAAGCGCTGTAGGCAGGATATGAAGATTTTCTGACAGCCCGATAAAGGTTAGAGACGTCGACCGCAAGTAAGGAGGGAATGTATGCACGACGACAGACCTCTTCGAGTTCCTCCTTCATTAAGCAACTTCTCCACCCCACGATCGATTCGGGACTCTACGTTTCGCACGCTCTCGAGCTCCGTCCTCCAATTCATCTTCGGGTGCCTCTTGCTATAGGGAATACACGTTGTAGTAGTTGATCGTGAAACCCGGTCGTTCGTACTATGGAAGCCACTATAAGCGTACGGTGCAGAGTGCATTTCGGCAAGTGCCGAAATATTATAGTTGACCTATGTACGTTGGGCTAAGTTGTTGATTCGATTTTTCCTCCCAGGCCAAGCTTTCCCTCAGAACTGGATTTCGATGTTGCATTTGCGCATGGCTGGGAGAACATTCAAGTACCCTTATTGCGATGCAGCAATACCCATCTCAGACGATCAGATCCTAGTTTTCGGTACTTCTCATTTGTTTGTTCTTCATACACGATTATTGACACGTCGTTGACCGGTTCATCTCCGCCACACCGTCTCGCCTCGATGATTTAGCTCGTTGTGCGTTGTCCTCAGAAAGGCCTAGACTTGAATCGCCGTATTCGCGTCCGTGCGGACCTGTCACGGCGATGGACGACATACTGCAGTACATTGCCATAATTTTTGAAGTCGCATTATATATGTGGTGAGCTGAGAGTTTGAGCATCGAGTGTAGTGTGTTGCTGACAATCTCAACATATAATTCCTTGGTCACAAGCGACGCATAGCCAAAGCTGGATGCTATACGTGCAGTCGTCAAATTGTCTCAAAAACACTTTGATCGACAGTGCAGTTCTACGGCTGCCATGAATTCGACCCGACAAAAAATTTTATGACCTATGTGATGACTCAAAAAGGTGACTGTGTTTGCGTGAGTCGTCCTTTACTACATTTTTCTGCACTCCCGTTCATACGAAGCACCAGTTCAATAATTCCAGCTGGATTGCTGTCGCCTCAACTAACACCCGCCTTATCTATCACGGTCCTCCGGGTGCCATCGGTGTATTAGTCTCCTCGGGCTTCTTTTCTGCGTACACCCTCTTCGAAGGCGAGACAAGTTCGAAGGGACTTTTGACGTCATCTGCGCACACTCCCCCAGGCTGACATTGACGAGGAGAAACAAGATCAATCCGTGACTAGCATCGAACAGAATCATAGCTGAAGGTACAGTATCATAAAAAGGGAAAGAACAAGATATTGACAAAGGTACACCGGCTAATCGTTGCATAAACTAATGGTATAATATGGTTGTAATGTGGTATATATTATCGTCGAATCGTCCTCGACTTCACGTAGGTATGAGATCAGTCAATAAACTCATGAAGAAAATGAAACCCAAAGAGGTACAGCAAGTCAAAGCCAATGCTCCGAACCAAGCAGCTTTGGTTTGAGCCAAGTCTAATCCATCGGTTATCACGATGAAGTATGCATCACGGACCCCTCTCCCCAACACACTCGAGTTGCAGTAACAATTATCATAGATATTCGTAAATTGCAGCATCGAGGCCGCAATGATCCAGATTGCATTGACAATTGCCAAGAACTTCCCACCCCATCTCAAAAGGTTCGATAGTACCCTTGCGAGATGCACAGATGAGAGGGGATTTCTCGATTGGTTCGAGGATGAAGATGAATAGTGCGAAAGGATGCTCGACATAACGAGCATCGCCCATACTATCGTGGCCATTGTGCCATAGAGGATGTAACCGAGGGATCTACAGCCAAGACCCTGCGATGGCCTTTTTGTCAGCGACAGGTGCAGGTAAGTGCATCAAGTGATGCTTACCACAGTCGGGGTACAATACACAACCAGCACCGCAGCTCCAGTTGTTGCCCATTGCAAAGCGAGAGGCAGCAACGAGGCAACAAACATGCGAGAGAACATCCCTGACGCCCATGGGCTGCGTGCGGTGTATCGAGGAAGTTTGCAGTAGGCATCGACTTCAAATGGGTTTCCGGACCTGTTGCAGGACTCAATGACATTCCTCCTGCTCGCGTTCCTCCACATATCACCCATTCTAACCGGTCTGTGCGCTCTAACATGGTTGGAGGCCACTCGAAAAGCATTGAGGACATCCTCCGCCGACCGAGACCATGAAATGGCCCTAGCGTAGTTATACACGGGTGGAGTTAAAGTTTCGTCGGTAGACGAAGGCTTTGCAATGCTGCTATCAATGGACACTGCTCGCATTTCAGAGAGGTCTGATGCTTTTACAATTCCATAATCGGTAGCTACAAATGCCATGGCATCCGCGTTGTCTATGGCCTTTGTAACGCGTGCGTAGTCGCACTTCGGAGATAGCTGCAGCCAACCAATGACGATTGGTATAAGCCACAACCACACCGATCCAATCCCTTGACCGTTGGAGTACATATTAGCGTTGACATCCGATAGTGAGCTGGCGACTGTCAATAAGTATGCAATGATGACCCAGGCAATCGATGTCGCAGATGCGATGGACCAGGTGTGGGTGTAGTCGAGAAATTCGGCAATTGTCGGCCACCAGTCATCATTCTCCGGTAGGACAACGAGAGAGCTGAGGAGCGAGTCTTGATTTGTTATTCTCAGAGGAGATTGTTGAAGGCTTATAAGGATGCGGACGGCGTTTCCAGCGTTAGGGAAGGACACGTCTTCGAACTGACGGCTGATCCACCTAGCGTTGAGAACGGTAAGAATCATCGAGTAACCGGCGAGCACCGGCGAACCGACTGTGAGGATGGCAGACATGAGATTGTCAACTCTATGTCTTGCACCGAAAGGCAGCTGAAAAATGAGCGCTAGGTAGGGTAATAACCAGGCGCCGAACTGCTGCGAAGTGTTTGCCCAGGTGGGCTTCTCTGTTCCCTCACCGCACTGCGAAAGACAAGTGTCATAGGTGAATCCAATTGCGTTCAAGATGTCTGACGACACATTTGGTATATTTGCGCCATTGGCATCCACTAATCCAGACGAATCGAGGGTCTGATTGGCATTATTTCTGAAGTTGATGAGACAGACGGTAAAATTGGGGGCTGAGCGTGTCCCTTGGATAAACACGAGAAGTAGTAGGAACAATCGAATCCCTAAGAGAATGGTGAGCAAGAGTCGTTATGAGTCATCAAACTTACTCTTTGTATTGTGCATAGGCAAGGGCATCAGGTGTATCAATATGGCACAGTGCACGTACAAATTTATATGAGGGGAGATTTGATACTGCGTTCAAGGTCGCCAACCAAAACGCTTATCTCTAGATCTGGGAACACCCATTTTAGCAGGGGAACTCAGGAAGCCCCAAGTATCAATGTAACTGAGTCGCGCAGATAACATGGCTATGGCTTTGAGTCTGCACAATGAGCTAAACGATTGCTAATGTCGTCCAAGGCGGCTTCCCACCGCTCATCGCTATCACAATTCAGGAACATACCAAGTACTGCCTACACTGCAGGCAAAATCGAATAGGTGAAGCCCACGAGATGGAAATCAAATGTGACAAAGATGTAAAATCACGCATGTGTCACGTCCATTGGCGGCCAATCAGATTATGTTCCGTATGACATTACAAAATGACACTAGTACTGTCGAAATGGCTGCAGTGATTTGGCAGTGATTTTCGATTTCAATCTCGTGAGCCTCGCTTGTTCGACTTTGCCCGCAGTACTACTATCATTCCGGGTAATCTGCAACTAGCATGTAATATGCAAAATGTTCAAAACACCTCAACGCGCTGCTCGACTCACTTCAAAAAAATTCAGGCATATGTAGACTACTTATAGATGATGTATTGTCCAAGTAGAATGAAAATTTCTTGAGTGTTGGAGCTGCGAGAGATGAAATAGTGGTAATTTGTAACCATGCAGGAACATAAATCATCCAGATCCCATAGATCCTACAGATATATTCACAAAGTTATACCTGGAGCATGACAATCACCTCGTCAGGATTCCAGAACACAATTTCGATAAAGGTCATTCTGTTGTTTTAAGATGCTATAGAGGAAGAATTGACGACATGTATGAAAACGTGACAGCAGATAGGAGAGAGTGTAAGAAATTCAATCTCCTCTACGGCACACTCGGCTAGTGCACGGCATCTGCACTCTCCACACCAAGTCTTGCATTGTGTTGTGTCGTCTCCTCTTGCATCATTCTCGCATCCTTGTTACAATGGCACCAAACCACAGGCGTACTATCCGTCAGAAGAAAGCCGAAGCAAGACATGATTCGTCAAAATTCAATGCACAAACCATTTGGTGGCTATCAGCCACAGCCTATCCCTCCGAGTCAACCCTCGATGGTGCGCATGGATCTTCCCCCACCCGGGTATGCACCCCCATATTGTCCCATGCACCATTCCGCACCTCAGCTTCAGCCTCCACATATTCCTCACTTTGCGCCGGCTGGTAGAGCAGATGTTCGAGTTGGTGGTGAGGCACAGATATATGATGTCGCAGGCCGTCAGCTCTATTCAGGACCATATCACCAGTACAATCACAATAACTACATGAATCGCGATACTTAATAATAATATATTGCTGTATTCAGTACTTTCAGAGCTTTGCACAACTTCAACAACTTCAAGTTCGACGACTCAACGCCAACAGATCGAGAGCTGCGGAGAGTCAAAGTTGACGGTGCCGGTGCTGCGCCGAGGCGTGACACGACGTGACCATATTTTGCAGATTAGCAGTCAGACCCTGAATTTTCTCGGCTTTCATCCGACACCACACCACAACGTCCTAAAAATGAGCAAAAATCAGATCTATATAGAGGTGGTACGAATCTACAACTCTCTAAATTCGTGGAAGATAAAATGAAGTGGTTGACGAGCTACAAAAGATTTGCTGAAAAAGTTGCAGATTACCCGGAATGATAGTAGTGCTGTTGTAAGCCTGGTAGCTTACGTACACATACACATGGTTCATTGCATCATAGACAAGTCTTTTTCTTAGCTCGTGCCTACTGTCGTCGTCGTCTGCAACCCAGAACGTGGTTGTATTTTGTTTCGTGTGTTTCTTCAGTGTTCTCGTCGTTGGCCACTACTTGTTTCCAACTGCCCACAGGACCAGCAAAGAGGGTATTGTGCCTTCGACCAAGGGCTGTGGATCGGTTGGACTAACTCCTCGGCGCAGCGGGATGATCGATATGACCAATAGTGGGTGACAAGCAGTGATGCAAGATGGACGTGTGCCTCTGGGTAGTAGAAACTGAGGATCCGGAGCAAGCATTAGAACCCAGCTGCACAAAATGGGATGACCTGTGAAAACCCTAAGTAGCTGCCAATTGCTGTGCAAATACGGAGAATACTTCGCACATCCTTGGGTTCAACACGAGTCTCGCAAAATGTCAGCCAAAAGCGAACCCAAAGTGGCCAGAGTACCCGTGACCTAGCCTGGCAGCATAGCCTGGAGCATTCACCCTGTAGCGTCGCCGTTCAGCGCTCTTGCAGTACTCCGGCCACCCCACGTGCCCTATCCTCCGTGGAGGGAATAATTATAATGGATCAGATCTTCTCCAGTTTTGCAGCGCATCCGAGTGGATCTGAGAAGCTTGTGATCCAATTTAGCAAGTTGCTTGTTCTCGCGAGCTTCTGGAATCTCGGAGTCGTTGCTGTCAAATACTCGGCATGAGTCCCCAGCCTGAGCGCTCTTGTAGCTGATGTACAACATTTGTGATTCCCTGGGAGATCCTCACTTGATGTTTAACAGATCGTAATGATTTGTATTTATCACTCCAATGGAAGCACATCTATTCTGTCTGCGCAGTCTATCGCTCCTCCGATATGTCAAGTATGACATCGATAACCAAATCAGGAGTGCCGACCTATGAATGGCAGCACAGCAGCAAGTGCAAGTACTGTCTCCAGAAAACCTCCAGCTTGAACGCACCGCAGTAGGTTGGGTTCCAATATTTATTTCAAATTTCAAACTCTGATTAGGACCACCGCCACCACTGAACTATACTTCTTCGCCATCCACCAGGAGCAGCAGTTGAGCAGCTAGTGCAGTCCTGCGGCTCCCATGACTTCCACACCCACAACAAAGTCCGTGACCTTCGTTGATGACTCAAACGGCGACCGCATTTGCGCGATAATGCGTCAGTCATCTTTTAGCATGATTTTTTTTATGTTTATTGCTGCAAGTTTTCCCGTCTATTGCCGACTTCGCGAAATGGAACGAAGTGCACTTCGACTACCTTCGTTCACATCGAAGTCTAACAAAGTGTGTCAAATTTCCACTTCAGTTCGCTTCGCGGCGACACTAACCGAAATTCACTCATCCTCACATCGTTCGGATTCACCTATTTACAGGCGACTCTCCTGTCCTAGAAGTTAAGATCGACAAGGTGTATTCTACACACATGACGGCTTTTCCTTCACAATAATAGTGTAGTTAAGAATTCCAGGATTCGACAGATACCAGGGACTGCAGATATGCTTTGTAACATTAAGCATACCTGAGGCCTGATCCTTACTCCGATTCGTATTGCCAAATGACTGAAACAGCGCCTCAATATTTTCGATCTTCCATGATGTCAATTAAAGACCTTGTGGACTGCCGATAACGATGAAATAAGGCGAGATCCCTTGCCAGCGTCGACGTGTCCGCATACAAACTCGAGCATCCTATAGGTATCGACTTAGGAGATGTTGTATAGTGGACGCGTGCAAATGCGAACATTTTGACATTCAACGGTTCCGCCATCCATCTTTGCGTCCCACTTACGCCTCTTGGCCATCCTCCACGGGCAACGGTGCAGTCCTGCGGCTGCATGGCAACCCCGACAACAATGTCCATGACCTTTGTGATGACCCAAACAGCGACTGCATTTGCGTGAGTCGTATTTTACCGTGTTTTTCTGCACTCCTGTTCATACGAAGAACCAGTTCAATAATTCCATTCGGATTGCTGTCGCCTCAGCTAACACCCACCTTATCCACCACGGTCCACCGGATGCCATCGCATTAATGGTCTCCTCGGGCTACACCTTCGAAGGCGAGACAAGTTCAATGGGACTTCTGACCCGAATCATGTTATCTGTTCGCACACTCTCCCAGGCTGACATTGACAAGGAGAAACAAGATCAATCCGTGACTAGCATCAAACAGAATCATAGCTGAAGGTACAGTATCATAAGAAAGGAAAGAACAAGATATCGACGAAGGCACACCGGCTAATCGTTGCATAAACTAATGGTATAATATGGTTGTAATATGGTATATATTATCGTCTGATCGTCCTAGACTTCACGTAGGTACGAGATCAGTCAATAAACTCATGAAGAAAATGAAACCCAAAGAGGTACAGCAAGTCAAAGCTAATGCTCCGAACCAAGCAGCTTTAGTGTAACCTAAGTCTAATCCATCGGTTATCACGATGAAGTATGCATCACGGACCCCTCTCCCCAACACACTCGAGTTGCAGTAACAATTATCATAGATATTCGTAAATTGCAGCATTGAGGCCGCAATGATCCAGATTGCATTGACAATTGCCAATAACTTCCCACCCCATCTCAAAAGGTTCGATAGTACCCTTGCGAGATGCATAGATGAGAAAATATTCCTCGGTTGGTTTGAGCATGAAGATGAGTAGTGCGAAAGGATACTCGACATAACGAGCATAGCCCATACTATCGTGGCCATTGCGCCATAGAGGATGTAACCGAGGGATCTACAGCCAAGACCCTGCGATGGCCTTTTTGTCAGCGACAGGTGCAGGTAAGTGCATCAAGCGATGCTTACCACAGTCGGAGTAGAATACACAACCAGCACCGCGGCTCCAGTTGTCGCCCATTGCAAAGCTAGGGGCAGCAACGAGGCAACAAACATGCGAGAGAACATCCCTGAAGCCCATCGGCTTCGAACAGCGTATGTGGGAAGTCTGCAGTAGGCATCGACTTCGGATGGGTTTCCGGACCTGTTGCAGGGCTCAATGACATTCCTCCTGCTCGCGTTCCTCCACATATGCCCCATTCTAACCGGTCTGTGCGCTCTAGCATTGTTGGAGGCCATTCGAAAAGCATCAAGGACATCCTCCGCCGACCGAGACCATGAAATGGCCCTGGCGTAGTTATACACGGGTGGAGTTAAAGTTTCGTCGGTAGACGAAGGCTTTGCGAATGCTGCTATCAATGGACACTGCTCGCATTTCAGGAGACGGTCTGATGCTTTTACAACTCCATAATCGGTAGGCTACAAATGCCATTGCATCCGCGTTGTCTATAGGCCCTTGTGACGCGTGCATAGTCGCACTTCGGAGATAGCTGCAGCCAACCAATGACGATTGGTATAAGCCACAACCACACCGATCCCGTCCCTTGGCCGTTGGAGTAGATGTTAGCATTGACATCCGTTAGTGAGCTGGCGACTGTCAACAAGTACTGCAATGATGACCCAGGCAATCGATGTCGCAGATGCGATGGACCAGGTGTGAGTGTAGTCGAGAAATTCGGCAATTGTCGGCCACCAGTCATCATTCTCCGGCAGGACAACGAGAGAGCTGAGGAGCGAGTCTTGATTTGTTATTCTCAGAGGAGATTGTTGAAGGCTTATGAGGATGCGGACGGCGTTTCCAGTATTAGGGAAGGACACGTTCTCGAACCGACGGCTGATCCACCTAGCATTGAGGACGGTGAGAATCATCGAGTAACCGGCGAGCACCGGTGAACCGACTGTAAGGATGGCAGACATGAGATTGTCAACTCTATGTCTTGCACCGAAAGGCAGCTGAGAAATGAGCGCAAGGTAGGGCAATAGCCAGGCGCCGAACTGCTGCGAAATGTTTGCCCAGGTGGGCTTCTCTGTTCCCTCACCGCACTGCGAAAGACAAGTGTCATAGGTGAATCCAATTGCGTTCAAGATGTCTGACGACACGTTTGGTATATTTGCGCCATTGGCATCCACTAATCCAGACGAATCGAGGGTCTGATTGGCATTATTTCGGAAGTTGATGAGACAGTTGGTAAAATTGGGGGCTGAGCGTGTCCCTTGGATAAACACGAGCAGCAGTAGGAACGATAGGATTCCTAGGGGGATGGTGAGAAAAAGTCATTGCGAGTCATCTAACTCACGCTTTGTATTGTTCATGAGCACGGACATTAGATGAATTGATATGGCGGAGTGCACGTACGAATTTATATGAACAGAGATTTTGTGCTGCGTTCAAGGTCGCCATCCAAAACACTCATCTTTCTGAGAACGCCCAATTCAGAGCCAGGGAAACTCGGGCGAAGCGCCAAGCATCAACGTAACTGAATCTCGCAGATAACGATGATGGCTATGAGTCTGAACAATGAGCTAAGTCTCGCAGATAACATGGCTGAGTCTGAACAATGGGCTAAACGATTGCCAATGATATCTAAGGCGGCCTCCCACCGCGTTTCGTTATCACAATTCAGGAACATACCAGTCACTGCCTATGAGGAACTGCCCACAGGATCAGCAAAGAGGGTGTCATGACTTCGACCAAGGGCTGTGGATTGGTTGAATCAACTCCTCGACGCAGCCGAAGAACCAATGATATCAAGCATGAGAACCCAGCAGCACAAAATGGGATGACCTGTGACAGCCTTAAGCAGTCGCCAATTGCTGTGAAAATGCGGGGTATACTTCGCGCATCCCGGGGTCCGACACGAGTCTCGCAAAATGTCAGCCAAAAGCAAACCCAGAGTAGCCAGAGTACCCGTGACCTAGCCTGGCAGAGTACATTTCCAATACGCTTTCGGAGGCTGTCTCGAGGCTCTGGCTCTGTAAGGCTGCTAGGGAAACATTTACAGGGATGATGCGACGAGGGAAGACATTATGCTGTTAACATTGTTGGGGCGATCGTAAATCACAAGCAAGTGGTGGCACTTTAATCTTCACTGATGGCCTGACAACGGCAAAATGGCCCTTGTAGTAAAGCGGCGCTTCAATCTTCTTGGTCTGTGCTGAATCCTGAAGGCCTGATAGTTTAATTTGAGTTGAATATAGGGCGGGATTTCTGGCCTCGTAAGTGTCGACGTGTCCGCATCATATGAAAGGTAACACCCTAGGTGCCGGAGAAATCTTATATAGTGGATGTGTGCAAAATGGCGTTGAATGCGAATGCTATGTGTTTACTCAGCACCGCCATCATTGCCACTAGTACATCTTCGCCATCTTCTTACGGAGCAGCAGTGCATTCCTGCAGCTGCCACGACTTCAACCTTAATGAAAAATTTGTCTATGATTTTTTTGATGACCCAAACGGCGATTGCGTATGCGTGAGTCATGTTTTTCTATACTCTCGTTCAGACTCACACGAACTTTACCACTGGCAGTTCCATCCGGCCTTATCCACCACCGTGCACCATTGTTGCAATTATTACCCTCCTCTGGTTATCCTCTTCTGCATAGCCCTCTTTGAAGGCGAGACGAGTTTGACGGGACTGTCATCGGGGATCGCGCCCATGCTGTGCCTGGTTCTTGTGCCCCTACTTTGATATCGGTGCTAGGGCTGGGGTTGACCCTGTAAGGTTTCCCCCTCGCAGTACTCCGACCGTGCCACATCCTACTACTGCCATACTTCAGGTTCATCTTCTGCGGAGGGTATACTTATAATGGATGGAACTGACGGGCTTGTCAGTATCCATGCCATGTGTAGGATACGATGATCAAACCTTGTCTAGTTTTGCACCGCATCCAGATTCCAAGCATCTCTACATGGATCCGAGAAGCTTGTGATCCAATTTGGGAAGGCCGCTTATTATCGCAATATTCTCGACTGGATCGCAAGCTTCTGGAATCTCGGAGTCATTGCTATCAAATACTCGGCGCGAGTCTCGTCCCCAGCCTCAGCGCTCCCGTGCCACGATTGTGATTTCTTGGTGCCAAGAATATTTGGGCAGAATCCCTGTCTATCGCAGTCATAGCCCTGCAGAATGCATATCTGCATCGTACCACACTGTAATGTTTCAAATATGTTGCAGATACGAGGTGCTGACATCCTCACTTGATGTTTTAAAACAGATCGTAATGAATTGTATTGATATCTGAACCAAATATGCGGTCTATCATCCATTCGATACTATGTCAAGTATGACATTGTCATCGATGACTGGATCAGGAGTGCCAACTTACGTATGGCAGCACAGCAGCAAGCACTGGACACTTGAAGCTCAGGAAATTCTGCGAGAAAGCTAGAGAGTATCTGTGTACCTGCTGCGCCGGCAAGAGCAGTAGTATTGAGCTCGATGAGTCGATCCGTTCCATATGTAGGCTGCGGTATCGCGACTCGCATAACGAGATCGCTCGCATACCCCGGACCCGAGATTACTAAAAACTGGGGATATCAGTGAGCACTTATTCCCGCCTTCTCCTGCTTTATGCTGCAGGTATTTAATCGTAAGGAAGTTCCATACACCGGTGTCGTCAGGCATTCTCTTTCATTGTCGTCTTCTCTCGGATTCATGCTTGTTGCTCTGACCGTTGTTCGACCACTATTCATCCACCATATGCTTGGGCCCTCATGCTTCTACCTTCACATTTATCCACCACACTTTTACCTTCCCGTCCGTATAAGCCGCAATGTTCTGCCCCGTATCATCACTCTGAATCATAGTTTTACGCTCATCACGAACTCATCACTCGTCGAACTTCCCTTGTCTATTCCCCTTTATAAACACTTACTAACAATGGAGGTATGCTCTCATTCTTACGTGCCTAGTACCAAGACGAGGCCAAACCGCTCAACCACGAATCGGACAAGATGAAACCACAAACAACATAGCGCGCTTAAAAGGAAATAGTATTGGGAAATGAACACAACAACTCCTAAGCTCTCTTGTCAACAGGAGGCCTGGGCAAATCAAAGAACTTGTTGATATCCCTGGCAGGGGCGCTGGGGCGAACTGCGGACGACTGTCATCATGTTAAAGCACATAGTGGCCGAGAACAGGGAGAAGGACTTACATTTAAGATATTATCTAGCTTCTTCTGTTTCTCTGCGCGCTCCTTTCTTTTGGAGGGTGAAACGTGCTGTATGGGGATGCGTGAGTCACTAGGATGTTGACAGATCAAAGGAAAATAGCCCACGTCAAGGAACGCGCGCAGGAAAGATTGACGGGGGGTTTTGGATGAAGAGGTGTTCTAAAAACGCGTGAGCGGTAAATTCACGCAAGGGTAAGGGAGGGAGAGCGTACCTCCATATTTGTCTTTAGTTATGAAAGTCGGACAAGAGTTCGACACTTCGATACAATCAAGAAGTGAGAGATGATAAGTTAATGTGAGTGAACTTGATGATGGTACGAAAAAAAACACGGGGGCTTATATACGAGACAGAAAGGTCACAACGCAGTGTGGACGGTAAGAGCGTGAAGGTCTAAGCGTGTGAGGAAGTGTAGAAGAATGATAGTTATACAAGATCCACAGCAACAAGTTCATGAAGTAGACCATGTGTCGGAGAACAATGAAATGTAAATATACTTGTATACAGGAGTGCTCCGACGAGTGGACATCTTTTATGACACTCTGAATCCTGAGGCGTAATGCAGAAGGCAGAGATAAATGTTCACCTATATCTCCGAACTTGCAGAAGACTCTTGCATGAAGAGGCCTGGAATGTACTTTCAAGTTGGCGGTGCTTCAGAGTTTTGCACTCCTACTCGACCCCGATCTTTGTGCTTTGGCCATGATAGTAGGAAGATAAGAACCGGATAGACGTGCAGACTTGTACTGGGCATATTGGTGCAAAGGTGAGAACCGTGAGCTGGATCGCATCCTGCATGTTGATATCTTCCGTCGAACTTTAGTATGTACTACCTGCAAAAGTCTGACTTCCTCTTTGCCTCCTTTTGAGACAGCGCAGGCTGCGGACTCAGAGTCTGATCTTGGCGCCGATTCATTCGGAGCAGGGACGTGCTTCCGCACGCATCTTCGTTGAAGGGCCACCGGTTTTGACATGTCATCTTAACCCTTCCAGGTGTGGGTTTAACCTGCCTAGGCCGTTTAGAAAACAGAGGATTATCAAAAGGTGAAGAATAAGTTGACGGCAGCCGCGTTGCCAGATTCAAGGGGAATGATAATGAACATACCTCAGGGGTAGCGTAACAGTCTCACCGGACGTATGATTCTCTGTGAAAAATTGTAAGTAGCCTTCTGCGACAGATACACGTTACAGGCAAGTCCATGTGATAGGACCCTCTCCAAGGGAGACCATTGGAATGGGTGACGAGGCTTTTCAAGCACGATACATCATTGATGATTCGTATCGTATCGAGAGACTTTCAAATGTTTATGTGCGTTGTCTATGTGAAAGCGTGCTCACTCACATCGTCGACGCCAGCGTGGTTCAGATCTGCGCCCGAACGAAAGCTAAAGTCAGTGTAGAAGCTTCAAGTGAGAAACTCGTCGCAGAAGGAAGTCGTAAAGATAAGAACCCCCAAAGGTGGCTAAGACGCGCACGAGGGAAAGAACGCGGATACCTCATTATATCGCCGAAGAGCTCTGGACTGTCATTCCACCCAGCCTCAGTACTTTTCATAGCGTCTAATATGGCTTGTGTATATTCCCGATTGAGGAATATAATTTGAATCTGACCAGTACCTGACGAGCGTGATATGTGCTTTGAGGGATCGGATCTTGTGTCTAGAGTATTGGTTAGCACGCAGCACAGATTCCGCACTCGCACTCGCCAGATTGTGTCAAATTAATCGTTGTATCAACTTTGCTCTCTGCGATTATTGGATAAGAGGCAAAATCTCAGGCCCAAAAGCTCACCATATTGCGACTGTTCAGATAACGATATTGATATTCTGAGATGACTCGGGGATTGCTGTTTCACTGGGGGAGGTGGTGTCGGCATGCGCTTGTCCGAAATGTGCATAGTTGAAGAGCTACCAACTTCTAGGCTGGTCGACACGGGCCTAAAGGGGCCTGAGTTCATAGTGCATGTAGGTCCTGCAACATCAACATAATAGAAGCAGTGTACGCATGTTCCATGAAGCGTACATCAGTGTCGACTATAAGTGCAATAAACAAGGGAGGAAAGTTAACAGAACAAGCAGGAAATACCGTACAATGATGGCGGGGGGGCAGGAGAACGATGGAAAGATAGAAAACGTAGACGATGCACAAAAATTGTAGTTATTCTTCCCTAATGCTGATTGTTTGCATATTGAATAGAGACGCAACCAATCCCGGGCAAGAACCCCTTCCAGTATCCGGCCTGACGTATTGTGATATCAAGGTGCGACGACGTTCCTGTCGCCAATGAGGTAGCGGTAGCTGCAGGAAGTGCCTTAGATGCTGTAGTAGTTGCGGGAGGTTGCTGTAATGATGATGGTGTGCTCTGGGTCACTCCATTGTGTTGTTGTGTGGTATTGGGACGTTGAGAGAAGCTAGCAGCTCTCTTCCCTCTCGCGTGATAGTTCCTCTGCGTGAAAATGTGTCAGTGATAAGAATAACCGAGAGGGAAAAAACATACAGGCTTGCCCGCTGTTCATAGGAGGTCGACTACTGGTGGTTCTCGTAACAAGATGTCCGACTCATCTTGTCTGCGTAGCATGCCGGACACAAGTTTTTAGCCCAGCCACGAGGGTGAGATTTTGGGAGTCGTGTTCAGTTGCTCCGCGTGTATTGGAGCGTCAGCGCCAGAAGGAAGGTAAGCGACTGAGAGTGCGTTGATTGGTGTTGCGGTGTGATAGTCACATCGCCCGCGGGAAGTAGAGAACTGATAATATATCAGTCAAAGGAAGTGTTAAATTAAAGATGGAGGCCTCGTACATCATCGAAAAACCCTGGGTGTAGTCGGCTCGGACGAGTGCTTTCGATTTTCGAAGGTTGTGGTCGTGTAGCATCAGCCTAGGATGCAAATGCTCAAAACCATGCACAAGGTCAAGAAATACATAATCTACCTCTATGTTAAATGGCTTCTTGACAATCTTCTACGATGAACGAAGATGAGTGAGTGAGTGAGGTTGTTGCAAGTAGACCACTGTCAGTGTTATTAAGGATGAAATGTGTGCAAGGTTACATCGTTTGACAGAAGGTCATCGAGGCTAGCTTCCCTGACGATAGCAGAGACATCCCATGTGTATATGCGCTTGTCGCCGCAGCCAATGACGAGTAACTTTCCATCCGCAGAAAATGTGACACAATTCAGGTAGTCTTCATGGTAGAGGGGGTTGTCCGATGGGCTGATTGTTTTCGAGGTTCCATAGTCGCGCTGTCGCGTCGGACGATAGACTTGTGAGGATGCGCTCGTTCGGAGAAAGTGAGATGTTGTCGACAACATCTTCATGCCCCGTCCAAGTAGTTTCGGTCTGGGTGGCAGTGTCGAATTTCCTGATAGAGTTGCCTCGGCGATAAGCGTGTTTCCATCCGGGGTCCATGCCAGGCACCAAACACATCGGGGATCCGAATATTTAAGACTGGTTTGATTGTCGTGCGAAATGTCAAGATAATACTCAATATTTAGGTTGTCGTCTTAGCGGATGTAAAATTTCAAATGTTAAAGAGGTCTTGCACGACAAGAGAAATATAAAGTATCAGCGAACATTTTCTTACTGTCTGAATGTCAATGACAATA